ACTCCTGCAAGAATGCTCATAATCAAAAAATCAAAAAATTGTACATGTTGGTATGGATGCAGTGAAAAGGGAACACTTTTACATTATTAGTAGAAATGTATACTAATAAAACCCCTATGGAAAACAGTGTGGAGATTCCTTAAAGAACTAAAATTAGATCTCCCATTTTATCCAGCAATCCCTCTACTATCTACCCAGAGTAAAAGAAGTCATTGTGCAAAAAAGATTCATGCACACACATTTATAACAGTACAATCTGTAATTGCAAAAATACAGAACCAGCTCAAATATCCATCAATAAATGAATAAAGAAAATGTGGTGTGTATATATAAATAAATATATATATACACATGCACCATGGAATACTACTCAGCCATAAAAAGGAATGAAACGATGGCATTCACAGCAACCTGGATGGAATTGGAGACTATTATTCTAACTGAAGTAACTCAGGAATAGAAAATCAAACATCATATGTTGTCACTTACATGTGGGAGCTAAGCTATGAAGACACAAAGGCATAAGAATGATACATTAGACTTTAGGGACTCAGAGGAGAGGGTGGTGGGTGGCGAGGGATAAAAGACTACACATTGGATACAGTGTACACTGCTCAGGTGATGGGTGCATCAAAACCTCAGAAATCACCACTAGGGAACTTATTCATGTAACCAAACACCACCTGTTTCCCCAAAACCTACTGAAATAAAAAAAATTTTTAAGTAATTAAAAAATAAGTAAATCAGTCGTGGCAATTTATATGTTTCTCTGAACCCATGAAAAATAATTACTGCATAATAAAAAAAAGTTAAAATTAAAATCAGAGAAATATTTGGATAAAAATTTAATAATTACATGGCTTGAAATATATCAGGTTGGGTAACTCATTGGTGGAAAAAGGGAACTTAATACTGATAATTCTTAATTCTTATTTCAAAGTTATAATAAAATATAAACATAATAATTAACATTTATATAGGGGGAAAAAGAGACTACCTTGGTATCTGTCAGCTAATGGCCATTTGACACCTCAGCTCAAAGTATTAAATGCTTTTTTGCAAAGGAGAAGCAGAAATAATGAGCCATTATACATGCGTATAAAAGAAAGTGAAAAACATCCCCTCCTGAACACAAAAAAGGAAAACTGCCTGCATCTCCCTCACAGTTGGGACGCAGCTTTAAAATAATTTTCCAGGAAAGTGGTTTATGCTATTCAGGCTACCATTACATTGTTGCTATTTGCACCAACACAGAAGGATTCCAGCTACACATCACCTGACATACCACAATAAGACTACTCAGCCCTCAGAGCCCACATCCCCTTCTATCAGACACCCGTCAGAAAACGTTAATAAATTAGTAACAGACTGAGCTCTTACCACAATTTAAGACCCATTCCTTTTTTCAAAAATAAGAAGAAAGAAGCAAGGATGAGCACTTCCCTTGCTCTCAGAGCTCCTGCTGTGGACTTACTAGACAGTTTTACATTTTAATAGGATTTACAGATTCATAGATCTTTCTCCCCTAGTCAGCATCAGCCCCTAGGACTGGTTCTTGGCACATACAACATATTTGTTGAATGAACAAATGGAAAAATAACTGGAAAGATTAGAACTGATTTGCATATCTGATCATCCCCCATATATAATTTTAAAGGAACTACAAATGTAACAAGTTTACAGTTTTTAGGGAGAGTTTGACTGACAGGAGTTCCCTTACCCTGGTTTGCAAGGACCTTTGCATTTGTTAGGTCATGACAGGTAGCTTCCAGGAATTAATTTTATAAATTAATTTAGAGATAAAAGAGCTGTAAGAAAGAATCATACTAAGTAAATGTAGAAGAATCAAATTAGGGTAGAAAAATGAAATCATTTCACAGGGACTTCCTCTAACTAGGTTGGTTTTACCACCTCCTCCAATTCTCTCTGCGAACAGAGAGAGGAACTCACAACTCGGCTGTGTACTCACATTACCTCACACTGACATGATGGTCCAGGGGTGGACACAGGGCCAAAGCCAGGGCAGCAGACTGTATCCCAGCCTCATTCAAGCTGGCAGTTTCTCCTTGGCCATGGCTGTGAGACTGTTCAGTGAGATGCTCTGGCAGCTATGCTCTAAGAACATAGTCCACTTTCATAAAGAAGCAGAGAAATGAACTAGAGAGCTTTGCATCAATGTTGCCCCTCCACTTCTAGTAAATTGCAAAAATACCATGAATGAGCCCTTGATCAGCTACATAATCTGCAAGGCCCAGTGCACAATGAAATTGAGGCGGGGAGGCGTCTCTTGTCCAAAAGCAGGAAAAACATGTCCTTAAATACTAGTAAAACATAACATGTTTTCCTTTCTTCCCCGGTGTTCCGACTCTCCAAGTGTTTGCTGGTCCTTTTGTTGTTAACTAGCTCATGCAGGCCCTGAGGATACTGACCGGCCAGCCCGGAAAATCACACTCCTGGGGCGGAAACTCGGAGCACCTGAGGCTCTCCATGACAGGGATCTGAGCCAGGAGTTTCCCCTTCCCGCTGGGGACAGGGGACCCCAGAGGCTTGCACTTCCTCTCCAGGCCCCCAGAGATGCCTAAATGAGAGATGGGAGATACCTTCCCTCCCTACCAACTCACACCATGAGAACACATCTCTATTGTAGTTCCCAAGGTCATGTGAACCTACCCTGACCCTCCTTGTACCTCACCCAGGCCAGCCTGCAGCTGAGGGCCACAGACGGTGGCTAGGGCTGGAAAGAGGGGTGCCAGATCAAATAGGGCCACCGCTAAATTTGAATTTCAGATAAAAACAACATAATTTTTTAGTATATCCCATGCAATATTTGGGACATGTATTGGAAAACTACCGTTCATCTGAAATTCAAATATAATCGGGATCCTATCTTGTTTTTTGCTTTTATTTGTTTTTGCTAGATCTGGCTGCCCTAGACCTGGGCACCAGAGGCTGGGGAAGTAGCTGGTGGAGAACCCACGCAGCCGGGGTAAGGAGGCCTGTGAGCAGAAGTCACCAGCCTCTGGTCCATGCTGTTGCCATCAGACTTCACTTACAAATTCAGAGGTCAAATTATTAAGAATGTCAAAATGGTGAGCACAGAGCATTAAACCCCAAACGCAGGGCTTCTCAGACCTGCGCTCCCCACCCCCGCATAGCCCATCCCCTCCTGCAGCTGCCTGAGTCACACCGCATGACACCTCCCCAGTGAGCCATCAGAACTCCTTTCCTACATAGGCCAAGCTGTTCTGAGTCAACTTCTGCTACTTGTTCACAAGAGGATTCTGATTAATACACCAAGATTCATATTTGTAAACTGAAAGGCTAAAGTTATGCATTTACAGAGGCAATGGAACTGGTGAGAGCTATGGTTTCATGAAAAATTTTTATTCTCTGCCCTAGGGAAAATATTTCTTCCTGAGCCACCCGGATTTCTACTGTACACAGAAATATTGAAAACTTCCTACTCACCCTTATTTCTTTTCCAGTCTCCATGCAGAATATCACCCTCTTGTCTTGACAATAATAAATGTCATCAATAATTAGACCAAGTTTATTAAATTATATTTGTATTACCTCCTTGAGAATTTTTTCATGTGATTTAAAGGGTTTCTTCCAAGTCTCATCAGTAACAAATTATCTCTGATGGCGGTTTTCCTATTTTCATTTCTCTGTCAGATCCTAGGGGTACACCCTATTTGTGGTATACATCATTCTTGCACAAAATTTAGATTCTGCAACAATGTCATCTACAGGAATTTGCAGGTGGAAAGGCTGCCTCTCCCATAGTTCATCCCTTCAGGGATAACTGATTATGAAGGAGAATACTGGACTGAACTCATTTATCAACGTAAACAACATAGGATGCTAAGTGGAAAATTCTGCCATAAAAGAAGGGGGATTTTCCCCAATTCATTGTCCAAGGGAATAGAATTATTGACTTCTTAATAATCACCCTTTGATTGCTTATCTCCATTCTTAAGATGGATTTCTAGACCGCTGAAATCAATATACCCCCTCAAGTGTATACAGGAGCTCAGTATCACCGACCTTGAGGCTTACTGGTCACACAGCGCTCATGACAGATGAGGGGAATTAGGCGGTGGGGAAGAAGAGAAGCGCTCTTCATTTCCTTCATTTAATTCCTTGGGAACTACGGATTGATACTGAAACAGTAAGAAAATAACCAGTAACGTCAGATTAAGTATATTAATAAACTACCCCCAATATATTTGATAGCTCTATTTTTAAGACTAGCAAAATGTGTGAGTAACAAGAAAACAACAGATATTCTCATTTGAAAGTTCAATAGTGTATCAAATATAACAACTATACCAAATGTACGTGCAAAATCATGACATGAATTAATGATACCATCAATCATAGAAAGATACTGAAATGACCATGGCTATGCCACTGAAAACAATTGGATGACTTATTACTTTGGAGAAGAAAATTAGTTGTGTTTTCTGATACGCTATTTCTGGATCGTCGTTTAGGTTTTTTATTAGAGGACATTTATACCATCCACCTCACCATCCTTCTCAATGATCATTGGTCTATATTATTCATCTATTCTTCAACCTATTGAATATTCAATATATTCATCTATTCTTCTGGCTAGACCGTTTCAGCAACTAACATTTTCCCTTGATTTTCCGTTGCACTCCACTTAAGAGGGATGGTTAACAAGTTGCTGGACAAATCCATCTTTACTTTAAAAGGAGAAAAAAACCTGTATCTTAGCTCAGACTGCTGTAATAAAATATCATAGATGGAGAAGTTTAAACCAGGGGTCCCCAACCATGGTGTCCTGTATCGGTTCATGGCCTGTTAGGAACTGGGCCACACAGCAGGAGGTGGGCAACAGGCAAGTAGGCATTACCACCTGAGCTCTGCCTCCTATCAGACCCACAGCAGCATTAGATTCTCATAACTTCGTAGCCCAGTGTGTGGATCTCGGTTGTGAACTCATAAGAATCTAATGGCTGATGATCTGTCACTGTCTCCCATCACCTCCAGATGGGCCAATCTAGTTACGGAAAAATGAGCTCAAGGCTCCCACTGATTCTACATTATGGTGAGTAGTATCGTTATTTCACTATATGTTACAGTGTAATAATAACAGAAATAAAGCACATGATAGACCTAATGTGCTTGAATCATCCTGAAGCCAGTCCCCCAGCCCCCCATTCCCCCAGTCCCCCAGCCCCCCAGCCCCCCAGCCCCCCAGCCCCCATAGTCCATGGAAAAATTGTCTTCCACAGAAACAGTTGCTGGTGTCAAAAAGGGTGAGGACCGCTGGTTTAAGCAACAGACATTAACTTCTCATGGCTCCGGAGGCTGGGAAGTCCAAAGTTCAAGATCAAGGGCCAGCCAGTTTGGTCTTTGATGAGAACCCTCTTCCTTGTTTGCTTACAGCCACCTTCAAATTCTGTCCTTAAATGGGGGAGAGAAAAAAGCTATTAGGTTGGTGCAAAAGTAATTGCTGTTTCAAATCTTGAATTTTATTTATTTTTATTTATTTATTTATTTGAGACAGAGTCTCATTCTATCACCCAGGCTGGAGTGCAGTGGTATGATCTTAACTCACTGCAACCTCTATCTCCTGGGTTCAAGCAATTCTCCTGCCTCAGCCTCCTGAGTAGCTGGAACTACACGTGCCTGCCATCACGCCCGGCTAATTTTTATATTTTAAGTGGAGGTGGGGTTTCACCATGTTGGCCAGGCTGGTCTGGAACTCCTGACCTCAAGTGATCCTCACACCTTAGCCTCCCAAAGTGCTGGGATTATAGGCATGAGCCACCATACCCAGCCTGGACCCTGAATTTTAAATCATTATAGCTAGGCTCAAATATATACATTTCTGCCAATGAGAAATAAGTTTGTTTATTCCTATAGCATAAAAATCATGCTTCATGATTCAACAAACTCTTGGGAAGCATTTTCTGCATCCTCTTGGTTGTGGAGCCATTTTTCCTGCAAAATGTTGTCAAGATGTTAGTCAGTTCGCAAGAAATCAGGTGAATATGACAGGTGAGGCAAAACTTACTTTTGAAGCATCGGTTGTGCAGCCTGTGGTCGGGCGTGGTCTTGGAGAAGAATTGGGCCCTTTCTGTTGACCAATGCCGGCTGCAGGTGTCGCAGTTTTAACGCATCTCATCCATTTGCTGAGCATACTTTTTAGATGTAATGGTTTTGCCAGGATTCAGAAAGCTGCAGTGGATCAGACTGGCAGCACGCCACCAGACAGTGCAAGTTGTTTTGGTGCAAGTTTGGGTTTTGGGATGTGCTTTGGAGCTTTCTCTTGGCCCAACCACTGAACTGGTCATCCTGCGGCTGTCATATAAAATCCACTTTTCATCATATATCGCAGTCTGATCGAGAAATGATTCGTTGTTGCATAGAGTAAGAGAAGACAACACCTGAAAATTACAATTTTTTAAAAACATTTTCACTCAGTTCATGAGGCACCCACTTACTGAGCTTTGTCACCTTTCCAGCTTGCTTTGAATGCCGAACCAGCATAGAATGGGTGACGTTGCATTCTTCGGCAACATCTGTAGTTGTAAGAGTATCAGCTTCAGCGATTGCTCCCTATTGGTCGTTGTCAGGTTCCAATGGGGGGCCACTATGCTCCTCATCTTCAAGACTCTCATCCCCTCTGCAAAACTGCTTGAACCATCACTGCCCTGTATGTTCATTAGCAGTTCCTGGGCCAGATGTGTTGCTGAGGTTGCAAGTTGTCTCCATTGCTTTACGACCCATTTTGAACTCCAATAAGAAAATCGCTCAGATTTGCTTGACTAACATCATTTCTGTAGTCTAAAATAAACATAAAATAAATAGCAAGTAATGAGTCATTAGCAAAAAATTTAATAATGAAGCGATAAATGCACATTAAAATGATGTATAACATAACCACGGTTATTAAAGAATGCATTCCAATATCAAATAGCAAATTTCAACAATGCAATTATGTTTGTACCAACCTAATGGCTTTCTTCCTCTTATAAGAACGTGACCTTACCTAAACTTGATTGCCTCCTAAAGGTCCCACCTTCTAATACCAGCAAATTAGGAGTTAGGGCTTCAACATATAAATTTTGAGAGATTACAAACCCTCAGTCCATAACAACCTACAAGATGCTGGAATTCGACAATAGTTAAAATGTGCAGGCACAATGCATGAGAACTAAATCATCGATTAATTTAAAAACTCATTTAAAAGTTGTTCAATCTGGGCCAGGCACAGTGGCTCATGCCTATAATCCCAGCACTTTGGGAGCCTGAGGCAGACAGATCATAAGGTCAGGAGTTCAAGAACAGCCTGGCCAACATGGCGAAACCCCATCTCTACTAAAAATACAAAAATTAACTGGGCATGATGGGAGGCACCTGTAATCCCAGCAACTTGGGACTCTGAGGTAGATTTGTTTGAACCCAGGAGGTGGAGGTTGCAGTGAGCTGAGATCGCACCATTACATTTCAGCCTGGGCAACAGGGCAAGACTCCATCTAAAAAAAAAAAAAGAAGAATTTGATTGATTTATAGAAGTGATTGAGATGAATGCATTATATTGGAAAATGTTAAGGATTATTCAGCATGGGGGAGATTGCCTAATAGGTAAACAATGATTAAAAAAAAACAAAAGATGTAGGTTCTAGGCACATCATTAAATCCTTCCAAAATTGTTTAAAATACTTTTGGATAGTTATTCTTTCATTTTGAGTTTCAGTGATTTTAGAAAATAATCCTATATAGTTACAGTGGTTGTTTAATTAGGGACCATTCTAATTTGAAAAAATTAGTGAAAAATGTATCATATTACAAGGAACCTATGCAAATTCAAAGGTCTAAATGGAAGGAAGAAACTGTTCAAACTAAGTAATAGTTAAAAGTTCTTAAAGCGATATGAGCAGCAATACATTGGATAACACAAGACACAGGATTTCTCTGACTATAGAATTTTTGAAACACCTGGATAAAACCCAGGTAGAAATGATTTCTCCAGAATTATCTAGTGAATTTCAGTCAATCTAATGCCTGTCTTCTTTGTTTTAGATCCTGAATATCCCATGTGCTTATCATGGTTAAGCCAATACTTCCAAATTATCAGCGTCAAAGGAAGATTGGGCACAGGATCCTTCTATTTTATTCTTTAGGGAAAAAAAGGAACGTCTAAAAATAACTATTATGTTGTTTCTATATCCAAAAGGCAGTTTTTCCTTTCTCTAAGTGGTTCTTGGGTTTCTTCCAAATTTTGCCTGTATTTTCCAACCATGTATAAGAAAGGCTCAGAATGCTTATGTAACTAGGTATTCTAATCATCCGAAGTCAGTAAATACGAGCTTTGAATATACACTCTTCTCATTTCGTGTATAATAGAGAACTCTGTTCTTGGCCTGAATATTTCACTGAGAGTCTAAAAATAAGTTCTTTTTAGATCCTTTTCTTTCTTATGATTGAAACTGGTATTTCCAAACGCTTCATGCTCTGTCTCCAGACATTAATCTGACATTATCTCTTCTTAAGAGTTTAACATAGGCTTGGTCTTATTGTTCTAAGTATTCTTAACATCAGGCAGTATGTGACCAACTGGGGTGGGAGACAGGGGGAGGAAGGGAAGACTCAGGTGAGGAAGAAGGCAGTCCTATTTGCCGTATTTAATTTAATCTTCATTAAAACCTTTAAAAAAAACTATTATGATAACTGTTTTGGAGATGGTGAAACAGACCCATAGGGGCTCAGTGACTTGGCCAACACTAGGCAAATAAGAAACAGCAGAGCCGCCCACCATTCGCATTCAGGGTTGCCTTATTCTGAAGCCTGTGTTCAGACTGTTCAATCCCGCTTTTTCTCAAGCACCTATTGCTGGTCAAAAATATGGAGAGCTGATTTCATCAACCAATCTATATGACACTAACTTGTAAGGCAGGGGGGGCGGGGACCGTAATACTTGACAAAGAGGGAAATCTCTCTTTCTAATGGGGGGCCTACAGCTAGTGCTCGACTTACAACCACGTTGCCCAGCTGGGCAGAGGACAGTGCGGACCAGCTTCCGGCAGCACTACCATCTCAGCGTGCACCATTTCAACTGTTATCTCAGACTCAGTACAGCAATTTGTGTTTTGTGTCTTGGATATTTTTCATCAAACCCCTCCCAATAAACTTCTTATACATTTCAAAGCAATGGACCCAAACATGGAACAATTTGCAAGGATGGAACGGATGGCACACGATGTGTTTCGTCCGTATCGTGAAATTTATGAAGAAAAAAAGAAACATAGAATTCAGACAAAGCGCACCATGTTTATGAAAAAACCAACTCTGGTAACCCCAACTGCTGCCTCAGATGACAACATCAACGACCCGCAGCCAAGCACCAGCGGCCAATCAAATGTTTCGTACATGTTTATATACAGTATTTTGATATGTTTTGCAATTGGGAAAGTGTTTCCTATAGTATTTTTTACACCTGTATTTTGTATTTTTGTATGCACCTGTATTTTGTAATTTTGTATGTTTTGCAAATATTAAACCAGTTGTACTGGTAATGCAGTGTTTTACTCAAACCTGACAAATGTAAAAATAAGAAACAAAATGGTGTAGAGATGATACAAATGGCATAAAATGAACAAAGAAAATTATGATCTATAACAATAATGAAAGAAAATTATGATAAAATATGACTTAAAGATTTTAATAACATCATTTCGCAGTACTGTACATATAGCGTACTCAACTTGACCAAATGGTGTTACGAGCAGTCTGTCGGAACCAATTGTGATCGTAAGTCGAGCACTAGCTGTAGAGCGACCAAAAACTGCTTGATGAAAGGATAGCTCTGGAATCAGGACAGCGCAATGGAACGTGGCCTGCCCTCAGGCTCAATGCTTCTACAACCTGATCTGAGACCACTCACTTAATGCCGAAAACACACGGCCCCAAACTTCATCCTGAACTCTCTGTACTAGGTGCGTCCAACCCAGGGTTGCTAGTCTAAGAAAATTGCTTGTGGGGTAGCTCTCCAAATTTTTGACCAGTGATAGATGCTTGGGAAAAAGCAAGATTGAGCAGTTTGAACACAGGCTTTAGAATAAGGCGACCCTGGATGCGAATGGGTGTTCTGCTGCTTCTTATCTGTCTAGTATTGGCCAAGTCACTGAGCCCCTATGGGTTTGACATGTTTGTGTCACCTAATAGTCTGTCTGGAGTCCCATTCTGCTGGGTGAGGAGCACCCTCTCCTATACTTCTCCAGGCACAATGCTTTTTGGTAGTGATTTGGCGTGGAACAAGACCATCATGGTTCCCACCCTCATGGCACTAACAGTTGAATGGAACAGAGACCATTTGAAAAAAATTTCATGCGATGACTGCCAGGAAAGAATAATCACCAAATACTGTAAAAATTCATGACGGAAGAATTTAACCTGAAGTAAGCTGGTTTGAATGGAAGAGCTAAGTGAGTCTGTAATGAATGGTTATTTTAGTTTCCCCATGAGCCCTGCTCTCAGCATCCATGGTCTTGTACAGTCGGCCGTCCATTCACTTGACTATGGGCTTGGCTCTGTGACCACTTTGGCCAACGGGACACCAGTGTGATAGAAGCAGAGGCATTCGTGCACGCTGGAGCTTGCGCTCTGGGGACAGCCCTGGCTTCTTAGAACTCCAGGGAAGAGGGATAGGACCTCTCAATCTCCAGTCATGACTAGTTGTAAACATACCACCAACTCTGGCAAGTGGCGGCCAAGCCAAATGTATTTGATCTAGAAAAAATAAAAAATACTCATTTCCTTTTATTCCGATGTTATGGAACAAAATTATATTTGCCACATGTATAATCAACTTCTACTTAAAATAAACATCTAATTCCATAAACCAACTTGATTGAATCTGTGTTCTTTGCAACCAAAATACTTCAAACAAAGCATTCTCTTTTTTCAAAATGTCAAACTGCCCCTTCTGATCCTGTGATCACACTGACAGTTCTACCGAGAGGTTTATGAGTTCAGGAACAAAGCTTCTAGTTAGCACTAAACAACTTTCCAACAGCAGGTGGAGCATTCACCTCAAAGATAAAAGAAGCGTACAGGAAGGAAGGATGCCGACAGGGCGTATAGAAATGCTGTTTTCTACTCTTATCCAGCACGTTCCATTTCTAGTGCTATTCTAGTTATTAAAGGAAAAATTAAACTCACTTATTCCTGTGATTCTATATTCCTAAGCTTTGCTCCAT